TAAAATACAAGAACTCCACTTGCAAGCATTTAGCACAGCTTTTGTTGAACCACATATTTAATCAAACAAGAGCCAAAGTAATTATATAAACAGACGCAAGGATTTGACTTGGTTTGGTGAGTACATACAGCATGACATGTATTGATGCCACACATGATTTGTAGAGTGAAGTACTGTGACAGAACAAGTGCACTGGCAGATGAAGTACATTGATGATTTGCTGTGAAATGTTTTAGCTTTTCAGACTCCTAATTGTTTGTTTAGCCTGCTTAGTGCATCTCCAATGATGTCCAACTCATGTCTTAGTTCTTCTACCACGTTGTTGATGCTGATTGTGTCCTTCAGAACGTCTACGCTCTGTGTGTACGGGTTGTAGCGCACTGAGAATGGCCTCTTGATGGTCTTTGCAAACTCCCTAAAAATGAAATTCAGATTTAAATGCAAAATACTCAGATAATATATATGCAGTAAATACTTTTTGCATTTTATTCGCATTGAATTCACTGTAAAAATTCAGTTTTGTTTTCTATTGCCCACACACCTCATTTTGACTTTTGCTTCCTCAAAGGTGTCCGAAACAAAGTAGACGTCCTGAAAGGTGGTGATGATACACTCCTGTTTGCATGTCACATTGGGGTCAAAGGGCAAGATCCTGGCATTTCCTGACAGTGCATGCTGGAAGAAAAGGAAATAGACAATCTCTATTTATAAGGTGAAAAACATGCATTGTGCATCATGCAGAGAAAGCTTTTGTGGTTCATTACCTTCAGCTCACTGATGGAGGACAGCAGACCGGCCCCATAAGCTCTCAGTTTCCCTTCCTGCTTACAGAGGCCAAACTCCACAGTGAAGAAATAACACTGAAACATAATATGGAATTGTTAATAAATATGTATTTGTAGCCGAGGCGTCATGCCCATTCAAAGTGATTTTTGAGCCAATTTTGTAGTACATTCACATTAAAACACCTCTCACCAAAAGGTCAAATCTCAAAGCCTGTCATTACTTACAGTGGCGAGTTTCTGTACAGAGTCATCCGACGCTCCCAGTGACGCGAGACCAATCTCCTGACTGAACTGAGCAAAG